AGATAGTCTCTTAGTACATCATTAATAAAGTCCTGGAACAAAGCCGGAGCATTGCATAACCCTAAGGGCGTGACAAGGTACTCATAGTGCCCACTTCTAGTGTTAAATGCTATTTTCCACTCATGATTTTCTTTAATCCTTACCAAATTGTATGCACTCCTGAGGTCAAGTTTAGTAAAGATTTTAGCACCCTGGAGTCTGTCAAACAATTTGGAAATGAGGGGAATGGGATAGGAATTTTGATCTTGTTTAATGCCCTGTAGTCAATGCATGGATGTAATTCTCCTTTTTTTTTATACAAAAAAAGAACCCTGCACCAGCAGGTGAGGATGATTTTCGTATGTGGCCCTTGCTTAGGGAGTCTTTGATGTACTCTTCCATTATTCTACTCTCCTGTGGCGATAAGACATACACTGCTCCCTTGGGTAGCATAGCGCTGGGTAGCAGATTTATGGAACAGTCATGCGATATGTAAGGAGGTAAAATATTGATCTGACTCTCACTGAATATCTCCTTAACCCATTTAGCCATGGATCTCATTGTGGAACTTCCCAGTTCTAATGGGCATAACACCATCCTCATGGTTGTACATAGATTTTCCAAAATTGCACATTTTATACCTCTTAAAAAATTGCCATCTGCTCAAGATCTAGTCCAAATTTTTATAAAGGAAATCTTTTTGCTTACACGTAGTACCATAAAACATTGTTTCTGACAAAGGAACCTAATTTATCTCTAGGTTCTGGCGTGCCTTCTGTAAACAGTTGGGCAAAGAACTTTCATTTTTCTCTTCGTACCACCCTCAGACTAATGATGCCACAGAAAGAGCCAATCAATCTTTAGAATTCTATTTGCATTGCTTTATCAATGCCAATCAGTCTGTGGCGGAACCAACCTCGCCACTATGCACTGGAGAAGCCTGGTTGCTCACCTGCTTGTTCCTGTCTTGCTCTCTGGAGGAGTCTACAGTGGTTATGGTGTTGGCTGGAGTGCTTGGAGCCCTCAGGAATCACTAGGAGCATCCTTCAACGGAGGTACCCAGTCGGGGTGCCAGGTGATCTGTTACACAGTCCAATTGGTTCAAACTCTTACCCATGGCTGAAATTTCCAGAAATAATGTGACTCACGAATCCTCGAGTCAGAGTCCATTTTTTGCAAATCACGGTTATCACCCCACTATTTTACCTTCTGCATTTTCAGGGACTGATATTCCTGCATTAAACAACTGTTTGACTTCTATCCAAGACACTTGGGATTCTGTTCATTCAGCATTAAAGAATGCCTCTAAATGTACTAAAATTCAAGCTGATAAGAAACGGGGTGCCTGTAACAAAACCCTACCTTATGCCTGGGAATATTCACTGCTACCGGCCCTTTAAGAGCTAGCCGGGCCCATATACAGGAACAGAGACCTCGGATTATAAAGACAGATTGTTTATCCAGCAAAATCTCATAAAACTGGATATAATTGAATGTGCTTACCTATTTCGTGGGGATTATTCTTTAAAACAGTTCGGGACTTTTAAAGCATTCGCTTCCTTGTGCGACCCAGACGGTATGGACCCAGTGTTCACAGTTCCCCCTGCTACCTAATTATGTGGTAATTTACATCCCTGATCGGCACATTCAGCTCTTATGGGAAACGCACGAACGCTTTGTTTCAGTTCCTGGGTGGCCGCCATTTCGGGACTTTTACATGTGGTCACGGCCATCTTAACTCCCGAACAGCTGTATTTTGCCGTCGAGTGTCTGGAACTAAAATCAGACACTCGAGTAGGCAAACACGCTGAGACCTCCATAGTACCAGAAATTCGTGCCAAAACTACCGAAAACCCTGCCGTTCGGTAGAAAGACTCAGTAGCATATGGAAATTCTGGCAAACGTCAAGTTACACACGGATGGCAAGCCTTTCAGGACTTTTAACGCACGAACAAAGACCGACCACAAGGCCAAAACTCATGGAACTATTTTCGGCTATTTTGCCTGTGCGGTCGGTTAAAACTTTAAAGTCCCATATCTCCCGAACCACTGAACCGAATGAGCTAATTTTTACATATGTTGGTTCCCCAGATTTATGCATTTGGGGTACATCCTAAACTTGGGGTGTTAATTGGGTTACAGGCTTATCTGAGGGGAGGAGATGTGTGGGATGTATCCTATGTTGTATTGGTTGCTTTGTTAATTATGTTGGTGTCTCCCTTGCATGGGCAGAATCACATAAAAGGAGATTACCTGCCATTAAAATTCAGTTCTTCTTGCCCTTCACAATGTAGCCTTGTCTCGTTATTGAAAGGGTATATGTAGCTTAATCACTTAGCTCTTTTAAGAGTTCTGCCTGACTCCTGCCTTGGATCCAGTGGATGGGAATAAGCGACTCCACTACTATACACCGACTTGCTGGGAAGAAAAGGACGTTTCCAATGGCTGATACCCTCTTACTACCTGGGTAGCCATTACAGTGCCAATCCTGTTTATCAAGTGGGGGACAGGGTTTGGTTGTCTACACCTCATATCAAACTCAAGGTTCCTTCCATGAAACTAGCTCCTCGATTCATAGGTCCCTTTCGTGTCCTCCGTCATATAAATCCTGTGACTTATTAATTGGCACTCCCTGCTCATGTGAGAATTGCTAATTCCTTCCATGTATCATTGCTTAAGCCCCTCACTTGCAATCGATACACAAAAATGAATGTTCCTCCTCCGCCCTTGGTAGTAGGTAATCAAGAGGAGTACCTCCAGGTTCTCTAGAGGTGTTCTGTTTTATCTGGTTGACTGGAAGGGATATGGCCCGGAGGAACATAGTTGGGTTCTTGCGGACCAGGTTCATGTTCCCCTTCTTGCCTGGTTGTTTTACAACTGTTTTCCTCACAAGCCGGCTCCTTCCCTCCTGGTGAGTGGTCGTCGAGTGGGGGTACTGTCACGGCCCCTGGCTCACCGCCATGTGCGTCCGTGCTCGACCGACATGACCGCACCAACTCACTGAGCTTACCTGCTCAGCAGCAAGCTGGGAACCGTTCCTCCACGCCGCTCAGGGAAATCCAAGATGGCGACGACCATGAGGTCACATCCATCCATGGCTCCAAAATTATACGAACGTGCGTGTAACGTCACAATGTCAATGCACGCGCACATTCTGGGGTCAGAGGTCACCCTCTGACCAATCAGAGCCTAGAGAGGGATATTTAAATCCCTAATTCACCCCAGTACCTTGCCCTGTCGTGGTTTCCTGTTCCTGGTTCCCTAGAGTGCGTTTATATTTGTGAATATTACTTCCTGGTATCCTGATCTTGGCTTTTCCCTGGTTATTCCGAATTCTGGTTCCCCTGACTTGGCTTGTTTAAACGGTATCTGAGTATTTCTGGCTTCCTTGACCTCGGCTTTCCCTTTGACCATTCTCTATCTCTAGCGTATTAGTCCGGCCATTCTAAGGTCCGGTTTACGCTCTGTCCTTTTATTTCCTTTCCTTTTGTATGTATATGTTTACATAGTTTCTACGTGTTGGACCATACTAGCAGCCATGACAGATAGGTTCGTTTGAGGTATTCTAGGATGGTCGAAGGAACCCCAACGCACAACGCACCCCAACGTGTTGAGTGAGTAGTAAGACTAGACCGTAACTGTGTATCAAATCTAGTAAAGGTGGCAGGAAGGTCTGCAATTCTGAAATGTATAGGAGAATATCATCCACAAAGGCACTGAGTTTAATTTCATTGTGGTGTATCTGAATGCCTTTAATCAGCGGGTTGTCAATAATTGCCTGCAAAAGCGGTTTAAGGGAAAGTACATAGAGGAGGGGGGAAAGAGGGCACCCCTGCCTCATTCCATTTGAAATTGTGAACTCGGGTGAAAGGAAGCTGGCTTGTAATACCTTTGTTGCAGGTTCTGCATAGAGGGCAAGTATTTGTTGTATAACTTCTAGTGGGAAGCCGTAGAAGGCCAACACCCTTTCCAGGAAGCCCCAACCGAGGCAGTCAAACACCTTTTTGGTGTCCAATGTTAGCAATAGACCACTTTGGCCAAAGCCCCTGAGATGTCCCAGCACCAACAAACGCTTATGTGTATTATCTCTTGACTGCACTTAACAAATCCGGTTTGATCAACATTTATGAGGAATGGGGGGGCGTATATCAAATCTGTTGGCTAGAATCTTAGCATAGATTTTGGCATCTGTGCTGAGGAGGGAGATTTTTAAATTATGGTATTGGGTTTGTCTGGTTTGGGGATTGTAACTACAGTGGTAAGCAACATTTCCCTAGGCATAGAGCCAGAGTGTGAGGCTGAATGGAATACAGACAGTAAGCAGGAAGCCAGTATTCCCGCAATCTTCTTGTAACACCCATTCAAGAACCCATCAGATCCTGGTGATTTCCTTGAAGTAAGTTTACAGATAGTGTCCAAGACTTCATTTAGCGATAGTGGTTGGAGTAGGGAGCAGGTGTGCTCTGGGGTAAGTCGTTGCAGTTGAACCTCCCCAAGGAAATCATAAATTTCCCGGGTAGTTCGGACGTGGATATTGGGACCATATCTCTAAGCTTTGCGTAGAAGTCAGCAAATTCTTCACTGATCGCCTGGGGGCCAATCTTTTTTTGTCCCATCCTCAGTAACAATAGGTACTATTCAGGAAGAAACCATTTTGACTAGTGATGTCGCAAACATAAAATTTTCGGTTCGCGAACGGGCGAACCGGGCGAACCGCCATAGACTTCAATAGGTAGGTGGATTTTAAAACCCACAGGGACTCTTTCTGGCCACAATAGTGATGGAAAAGTTGTTTCAAGGGGACTAACACCTGGACTGTGGCATGCCGGAGAGGGATCCATGGCAAAACTCCCATGGAAAATTACATAGTTGATGCAGAGTCTGGTTTTAATCCATAAAGGGCATAAATCACCTAACATTCCTAAATTGTTTGGAATAACGTGCTTTAAAACATCAGGTATGATGTTGTATCGATCAGGTAGTGTAAGGGTTATGACCGCTTCACAGTGGCAGACCAAACTCCCCATTTAACGCACCGCAAACAACCGCAAACAGTCCATTTGCACAACCGCAAACTCCCCATTTGCACAAGGTTAGATACCAAGCTAGCCATGTCCCGTTCCTTGTCCTCATTGATATCATTGAAGGTCTCTTCCTCCACCCAGCCACGTACAACACCAAAGGTCCCCAAACACTGCGATTTGATATCTTGGAAGAGTAATCTTCTCTTCCATGGGGTATTCAACTTCTTAATGTTATGTGTTACTATCTTCATAAAGTTATGTGTTAGTATCTTCATAAAGTAGTAGACAAAAGGAGTCACTAGTCGAATCCGACATCATAGTGAATTGCATAGGTTTGTGGTTGGTGGGGGGTTGGTGAGGTGGGGGTGTTGGTAGGATGTAACTCGGTAATGTGGGGAAAGAAAAGAGATTATCAGAAACAGTGTGGTCGTTCACACCATGTGAGCGCGAGCCATCCATTCTTTACATATGGATGGTCAGTGGGGGTAGTGGCTAAGGGTAGTGGCTAAGTGTCCCAGATTAGGGAAAACATATTCGCAACCCAGAGCACAGCTCAGAGCTCATCAAACGCATAAGAACAAGAGTGTGCTTTTGGGGCTTCTAAGTGCACAATAAGTTCTCAACAGTGTAACAAAATATTTTCAGAAAACGTGTTTGTCCCGGCAAGGGTACATCATTTATTATTGCACTATGGTATATTGCTATTTAATATAACTTGTGCAGTACATCAATAATTGGACTCCTGGCTAGAGGCCAAATGGAAGAGAGAAATTGCTCTTTTGATTAAAAGGGGCTTCTGCAAGGTGTGAAACGGTTTCCCCTTTTAAGTAATTAAAAAAGAAAAAAGGAGAGCCTAGATATGAATATGAGGCACGAATATGGGTAGAAACAAAATGGGGGTAACCCCTAAATGGTGAATTTATATGAATACAAAAAAGAAAAGAAAAAAACTACCATAGAGTGTCTCAACATTTTGGTAAATATAGTCACAGTGAAATGGGCATAAAAAATAACTTTTAATGGATATATTAAAATGTAAAATAGAAAAGATAAAAGCAAAACAAAAAGCACAAGGCTAAAAAATAATATGTCCTATAAACTAGTAGGGGTATTAAACCTCCAATAGAACCAATAGCAAGAGAAGTGTTGCTTCAAATAAATACTTATTGGTGTAAAGTAAAACTACTTGCTATGAACAATGTAACTGTATTCTAAATAGAGAAGTTGGATACTAGTATCTTTAAAACTCTCCCTGCAGAACAGGGTAGGTTGAATATAGATGAAATGCCTCTAGTGCACAAGGGGTTAAACAGCACAACAGTTGGTTGCAATGGTTAATAGAAAAGAGGCAGGGAATACCTGTAAAATAATGAGGTATAGGAGACAGTTGCAAGCTAGGTTAGATATAATGGTCAGTAGAAATATAGAGACTATAGGTAATCCTGACGCTTGCTTAGCTTCTTTAAAGTTAATTCTGGTGACCAGGGCCGGCGCTGGGGGGAGATTATTGGAGGGAGGGGGGAGATTATTGGAGGGGGGGAGGACATTATAGGGGAGGGAGGGGAGAGATTATTGGAGGGGGGAGGACATTATAGGGGAGGGAGGGGGGAGATTATTGAGGGGAGGACATTATAGGGAGGGAGGGGGGGAGATTATTGAGGGGGGGGAGGACATTATAGGGAGGGAGGGGGGGAGATTATTGGAGGGGAGGAGATTATTGAGGGGAGGACATTATAGGAGGGGGAGGGAGGATTATTGGAGGGGGGGGAGGACATTATAGGAGGGGAGTGAGATTATTGAAGGGGGGAGGAGATTATAGGGAGGGGGGGGGAGAAGATTATGGGGAGGGGGAAGATTATTGGGGAGAGATTACGGGAGGGAGGAGACTATAGGAGGAGGGAGGAGATTATTGAGGGGGGAGAAGATTATAGGAGAGTGGGGGGGAGAAGATTATAGAGATGGGAGGGGGAGAACATTACAGGGAGGAGGGGGAGGATTATAAGAGGGGGGAGAACATTACAGGGAGGGAGGGGGGAGTGGAGAAGGTTATAGGGGAGGGGGGAGAAGATTATAGGGGGGGAGAAGATTACAGGGAGGGAGGGGGAGTGGAGAAGGTTACAGGGAGGGGGGAGAAGAAGAGAAGATTACAGGGGAGAAGAAGAGGAGAACACGGGGAGGGGGGAATAAGAGGAGAACACGGGGGGTGGGAGATGAGAACGTAGGGGAGGGAGAGACCACTAAAGGAGGGAGGGGGCGGTGGAGAGACCGCTAAAGGAGGGGGGTGGAGGATAGACCACTAGGGGAGGGTGGGGGGAGAGGAGTGACCACTAATGGAAAGTCGGGGAGAAAAGGAGACCACTAAGGGAGGTGGGGGGAGAGGAGAGACCACTAAGGGGCGGGGGAGATCTCTAAGGGAGAGCTCTATAGGACAGGGGGCAGGACAGGGAGCTCTTTCACACCACGCGCACACACACACACACACAATGCATCCCTATACACACAGAAACACAACATGCTTCCCTTACACACAGAGAAACACACAATGCAACCCTTAGACATAAAGACAATGCATCCTTTGCACACATACACAGAAACACACAATGCATCCCTTACACACATATGCAAACACACACTGCTTCTCTTACACACACACAGAAACACAATGCATCTCTTACACACACTCAACGCACCCCTTACAGACAAACACACAATACATCCCGTATACACAAACACTCACTGCTTTCTATCCCTTACACACAAACACACTGCATCACCTACACAAACTGGTATCCCTATACACTACATTCCATAAGCACACACATTAGATCCTCTACAGTAACACATAACACATCCCCTACACACTCTACTCCCTGTGAGCGGACTCATGTAGGTGGACTTATGGGTGGGCTTTATGGGCATACTCACCGTCAGGCCCTGGGGCCCAGACCTTGAGCTATGTAAGAGGCCCCACAAAATTGAGCTGCTTCCCGTTCTCCCAGAACATTGAATTTTGTGACCACAGTTACAAACAGCCTCCAGAGATCCTGTTCTACACCAGACCAGTGGAGCCAGACTGCAGCCACAGCCCATCATCATCCTCATCTGATTGTAAGTAGGCAATCTAGTATATTATTAGTGACACTAATCTCTAATTTACCTCACAATAAATGGACACTATAGTCCCCAGAACCACTGCAGCTTAATAAAGTTGTTCTGGTTTCTATAGTTTGTCCCTGCAGGCTTCTTAATGTAAACACACACTGTGTGCAGCACTGGCACTAGTTCATATGGCAGATCATATGGGTGGGGCATTGCGAGGCCCCGGCGGGGGTGGGGGGGGCGGCAAATCTTTCTTTTGCCTAGGGCGGCAAAAATCCTTGCACCGGCCCTGCTGGTGACATCCACAGGACTTTGTTAGGGACCTCTTCTTGCCACGCTGATATCGGCACGCCCCAATCTTAGAGTTGAAATCAGCCTCTTTCTGGAGATGTGATGTTCTGGAGTGCATGGCAGCTTGGTAATGGATGAGAAGCTTTGCCGGGTATCCTCATCAGTACTGCACATTGTTGCCTCGGAGGGCTGAGGTAATTGGTGACATGGTCTTATGAAACTGTAGGGTAACAGCTGATAAGTCCACAAATATTTTTATAATGGTGTAGGGTCCAGGCAATTTTGATTTTCTAGCTGCTTTGTTAAATGCTTTGTTCATGTGAAAAAAATGGACCCTGGTCACCACATCTCTTGACGCAGTCAGAGGTAAGTGATTCAGTCGATGAAGTCGGAGCACTCTGTCCACCAGCAGTAGGCCTGCATGAATTGCAGGTGTTAGTTCTTGGAACATGTCCAAGAGGTAAGATTGTAGGTTTTCATTTGAGACAGATTCTGGGATACCCCGAATGCGGAGGTTCTTACTCCTGGACCTGTTCTTCAGGTCAGCCAGCTTCACCTTCTATAATATGGCATCTAATTCCTGGAGTTTATCGGCCAAGCTATTGTGAGATTCTGCAAAGTTGCTCATTTTATTTTACAGCTGTGAGATTCTCTGGCCTACCTCATGTATCTATTTTATGAGGTAATTTGCAAGTGCTTGTAGCTGTCCAGAGATGTTGTTCTGCAGGAGAGATAGCTCAGAGAGGCTGGAGGGGAAACTGAGCCTTCTCTTGAGCGAGGCTCGCAGCCAACTTGGATCCTGCTTGGGCCTTCTTGGGACTTACGCACCGTTTTTTTTGCCATAAAAAAAAGGACGTTTTTTCCACTCTAGGAGATTTTGCTTTATGTCTCTGGGACATGGTGGTCGGTGTGTGTCAGGTTAATGCCCAGTAGTCCGCTTATTTGGAACTCTTTGCTGCTTGTGAAGAGAGCCTCATAGAGACGGTTGTGTGGCCACGCCCCCATGTTTAGCTTTTAATAAGTACTATGCAGGTTTATATAATCTCTCTCAGGATTAGACATCAGTGGAATGAATAGCTAGATACCCATCTGATACAGGTTTACCTCACTTGGATTAAGTATAATTGAAAGATCTAAACTCTCCAGGTAAGTAATCAGAAATCTCTGATGTTATAAAACAACTAAAAGTATGGTAGGCACAGTGGCATGTCAGATTCCCTAATGCCTTTTATAAGAAATTTAGACAAGGTCTGAAGCCTTTCCTGTCTTCAGTGATTTTAAGGACATAGTAACTATACACAGAGGGATGATGGATGCTACTCTAACTCCCACATTTAAGATAGGGAAATACTCAGCAAGGCTAGATAGACTCAGCAAGGCTCTCTCATCAATTCAGATCTAAAAAAATATTCCAAAGAAAAAAAGAGTTATCTGTGCACTTCCCAAATCCATATGCATATTTAAATAAATGGAGGTTATTTAGTAACTCCATGGCCATTAGATGTAAGCCCACCTGCCACATCAAGGAAAACCTCTTAGGTGGGTCCTACACTAACAACTCACCATGCTTCCTTTAGCTTCATGCAAAGAAAACTCTAATGAGACAGAGAGGGGTATTATTCTAAACCCCTACATACTCATTAACCCTTAAGAGGGATCACATGGGATGGGAAGTAGCACTGTAACATAGCTGTGTGATACAAATACGCAAAAATAAGTCCTGTGCTCAAACTCCCACTACTCCCACTAAAAGTGATTTACCTCCTAAATGGCAGGGAATTGAGCAATGTGACTGCAGGGTCATGATATATACACAAAAACTGCTTTGTAAGGCTAAATTTGTTTTGGTTACTATTGTGTCCCTTTAATAAATATTTAAAAAAAAAGGCAGTTTCAAAAATGAAAAGATGCAATACAAGGACTCATTAGAATTATGCTTCCAGAGAATCATACCGTGGTCTACAAGATATTGCTCTCTCCTGGTGCTCCTCCTACCTTTCCTAGCGCTTTTTCAGTGTTTCTTTCTCTGGCTCTGCCTCTTATCCCCAACCCCTCTCTCTTGGTGTTCCCCAAGGTTCTGTCCTTGGTCCCCTACTGTTCTCCATCAATACTGCCTCCCTTGTTAAACTCATCAGCTCCTTTGGATTCCATTATCATTTATATGCAGATGACACGCAAATCTACCTGTGCTCTCCTGATCTCTCTCCGCCCATCTTGACTCGTGTCTCTGACTGCCTTTCCGCAATTTCCAACTGGATAGCTGCTCAGTTCCTTAAGGTCAACCTGTCCAAAACTTGACGTCTGGTCTTTCCTCCCTCAAGTGTTTCTACTACCATGTCTGTCTCCCTCCAAGTCAACTGCGCCACCATCACCTCTACCTCACAGGCTCGCTGCCTAGGTGTTCTCTTTGACTCCAACTTCTAATTCACCCCTCATGTCCAGTTGATTGCCAAATCCTGTGGCTTCCATCTCAAAAACATAGCTTGGATCCACCCCTATTTAACACCAGACACAGCTAAGGTGCTGGTCCATACCATTGTTCCTTCTCACCTTGACTACTGCAATCCCCTTCTCAATGGTCTTATATGTTCCTAGATTGCACCGCTGCAATCTATAATGAATGCGCTGGCAAGGCTCATTTTCCTGTATGTCTGCACCTCCCACGCCTCCCCCCTCTGTCAGTCCCTACATTGGCTTCCAGTTAGATATAGGGCTCAATTTAAGATTCTGGTGCTTGCTTACAAATCCCTACATAATGCCTCTCCAACCTACTTATTCTCCCTAATGCAGAAGTATGTCCTGTCCAGGGCTTTACCTTTTCTGTGGAATTCCCTTCCCTTCTCCGTTAGACTTTCACCCAGACTCCACTACTTCAAAAAATCTTTGAAAACACACTTCTTCAGGAAAGCATATTATTTAAACTGTTAGTGGGTTTTCACCCCCCCACCCACCTCCCCCCACCCCCATGACTCCTCCCCTGCAACTTTAAAAAATAACCTAAGTAAGCCAGACCAGGGCTTCAATGCTTACACTGTATAGGGGGACAGGACAAGTAGTTACATGAGTTTTTGAAGAGATCCGGACTGCTGAATGCATGGAGAGTCCCGCACCCCGGAACCTGTGACTACACCTTTTATTCTGCACCCCACGACAGCTATTCCCGCATAGACATGTTCCTAGTTAAAGCGGCACTGTCATGCCAAACTTACCTTTCCTCAATCTATTCCTCTTCTCCCTCTCTCTCAGGATCTGTTCTTCTTTTCTTCCTGTCTTCTTTAGTTTTCTTTAAAATCATAAGACAAAGTAGGGACTCTTTGCCTTATGGAGGATTCCTCCGCTTGACCAGCTCTGACCAGCGGAGGAGCAAAGTGTGCTTCATTTCCGCTGGTCAGAGCAATTTTCCCATAATTCTTACCTTTCCTCTGTGTTCCCGCGATGATTCCTGTCATTTTAGATGAAACTGCCGAATTGCGTTCTAACTGAATGAGAACAGTATGTTCGTTTGTTTTAGAACGCAATTCGGCACTTTGTTCGGATCTCAATTTCATTAGAATGAATAAAACTCCAATCCTATTCTTGCTGTGGCTGCATCTTGCAGCCGCTTAGTAGATAACTCCCTAATTCCCACGGTATCAGGGAGTTATCTACTAAAAGGCTGAAATACCTAAATTTTAAAAAAAATATTGGCCCCCACCCCTAAACGACGGGTGGGGGCCCTAAAGTAAAATAAGAGGGGAGACCTAATGTCCCTCCTGGCCCCCACCCCTGCGCGGTGGGTGGGGGTCATAATGATAATGGGGGGGACCTACTGTCCCCCCCCGGCCCCCACCCCTGGGCGGCGGGTGGGGTCCATAATGATAATGGGGGGGGAGACCTACTGGGCCGCAGGTGGGGGCCATAAAGATAATGAGAGGGGGAACCTACTGTCCTCCCCACCGCCCCCACCCCTGGGCAACGGGTGGGGGCCATAATGATAATGGGGGGGACCTATTGTCCACCCCCCCTCCGGCCCACACCCCTGGGCGGCGATGGGGGCCCTAAGTCAATTTCCCCCCCCCCGCAAGGTGACTAGGGGTCGCCAAGCCCCTAGTCACCCACCCCCCCACCCAAATAAAAAGTCCCTACCTACCCCCCTCACCCTGAAAAATAGTGAGGGGGGAATAAAATAACTAACCTGTAAAGTAAAATTAAACTTACCATTCAACGTCTTCTTTTTTCTCAAATCTTCATTTTTCAGCCCCAAAAAAGGCCAAATAAAAAACCATCATAACTGTCGAACTTAAAATAAAATAAAAATCCTGAGCGCAAAAAAAAAAACCTGATGAAAAAGAAAAAACCTGAGTGCAAAAAAAATAATCCATCTTCACCCATGGAGGGCCCCGCGCAGACTGAGCTCCACAGGGCGGGGGAAGGCTTATAAAGCCTTGCCCCGCCCTGCAATTAGGCTAAGAACACTCTGATTGGTGGGTTTAACCAATCAGAGTGCTCTTTGTCATTTTACACAGCGTAGGAAAATTCCAAAGAACTTTCCCATGCTGTGTAAAATGACACAGAGCACTGTGATTGGATGGATTTCAAGCCATCCAATCACAGTGCTCTGTGTCATTTTACACAGCGTGGGAAAATTCAAAAGAACTTTCCCACGCTGTGTAAAATGACACAGAGCACTGTGATTGGATGGATTTCAAGCCATCCAATCACGGTGCTCTGTGTCATTTTACACAGCGTGGGAAAATGCAAAAGAACTTTCCCACGCTGTGTAAAATAACACAGAGCACTGTGATTGGATGGCTTGAAATCCATCCAATCACAGTGCTCTGTGTCATTTTACACAGCATGGGAAAGTTCTTTGGAATTTTCCCATGCTGTGTAAAATGACAAAGAGCACTCTGATTGGATGGATTTCAAGCCATCCAATCACAGTGCTCTGTGTCATTTTACACAGTGTGGTATGTCCCCCCTCTTTATCATTATGGCCCCCACCCGCCGCCCAGGGGTGGGGGCTGGGGGGGACAATAGGTCTTCCTTCTTATTTTACTTTAGGGCCCCCACCCATCATTTAGGGGTGGGGCCAATAGGTTTTTTTTTTGTTTTTTTACAGTGAGCAGCCACAGGCTGCTCACTGTTTAGTGGACATGCCCCTACTCGCGGTATAGTGAGTAGGGGCATTGGGGAGATTTTTATTTCCCTTGTGCTATTATGGGGGTCATATTGACCCCCATAGAGTGAGGGGGAACATGGGGGGCTTATGAAGTGGTGGGGGGCACTGCTCCCTGCCGCTTCTATCTTCACATATTACAAGGAGGGAGCTGCATGCCGGTAGCTTCCTCCTTGTAATAGACTGAGCGAACAAACGAACACTGATATTCAGTGTTTGTTTGTTCGTCTGATATTTCTATTCATTCATTCATCTGTCTGATGAATGAATGAATAGATGAAATTCCCGTTCGCATGTCCAGGTGTTTCACTGGGCATGTGCGGGAATCTCACAGGCTATCTAGTGTGGGCTGATGACGTGTCCCACAAGGACTTCATCTACCCACACAAAGATGGCTATGCCCTGAATCAAGATCGGGCAGAAAATAAGGAATAAAAAATAGGTAATGTGGGGGGCTTAGGGGCATTTGGGGGTGACTAGGGGGTCAATTAGAGATAGTGGAGGCCGGAGGGGGGGTTAAAAAAAACAACAGGATTCGGCATCACAGTGCCGCTTTAACCCCCTCCTGATGAGGTCAGTCCAGTCCACAGATATTGGTTCGAACACTTGGTCCGATCATGCGGACATAATGATCTCTTTGCTATTAATGTCACCTCCCACTGGACGTGGAGGTTGAAAACCTCCCTCCTATGGGATAGGCAGATAGTAGCTGACTGGGCAAAGGCACTCACTTCATTTTTGTCAGTAAACATTTTCCGGGATGTGCCGATGCCAGTAATTTGGTCAGCCCACAAGGCCGTCACGCAAGGGCACTTTACAAAATTTGCAACTCATAAAAAATGCCGTAAAACACAACGACTAAGGGAATTACAAGAGGCCCTTCGCAGATTAGAAAATGCACACATAACGGCCTGCTCTCCTGCCACTCTAGCCCAACTTAGCGCAACCAGACATTTGCTCACAGATGCCCTCTTAGAGGAAGTGGCCCAACAACTGACTTGGTTCAAGCGTCTTTTCTATGAAAAGAGCGACAAAATAGACTCCCTCCTAGCTAGAGGGCTGAGACCCAGACCGTGCCGTGACCCTATAGCGGCCATAAAGACTGCAAAGGTTCTGACGGTTATGACCCCCAAGGAGATTTACCTAGCTTTTCAGGAATATTTCACCAAACTATATTATCATTCCTCCACTAAGACTCTAACCGACCCAGACCTTAGAGCAGACCTGGAAGCCTTCCTTATCGTTCTCATACTCCTGGCACTTACAGAGAGATCCAAACTCATCCTAGACTCAGACGAGATACAGGCAGTGATTGCTGCCCTGAAGGGCTCCAAGGTCCCAGGACCTGACGGCTACAGCGGAGCGTGCTACAAGACCTTCACTGAAATCCTAGTCCCACACTTAACTACACTCTTTAACTTGGTGAAAGAGGCATGTCATTCACTGATGATACCAAACTAGCCAACATCAACTTGCTACCCAAAGAAGGTAAACCAACTGAGGAAATGGGTAGCTACCGACCCATATCCCTTATAACCACAGACACAAAACTGTTTGCAGCTGTGCTGGCAGGGAGAGTAAATACACTGATGCAGAGCCTGTTCCACCCTGACCAGGTGGGCTTCATAAAAGAAAGGCAGCTCTTTGAAAACACCAGAAGAGCTGCAGATCTGCTGTGGTGGGTGACGGTGTTGGCAAGGCCTTCCCTAGATGCAGGGAAGGCCTTTGGCCGGGTTTTATAGCCCTATCTGTTTGGACTAATGGGGAGATAGGATTTCCCAGTCAAGTTCACATGAGCCATTAAGGCGCTATATACAACCACCATGGCACAGATACTAGTGCCAGGAGTGGCCCCAATCCCATTCAGCATGACCAACGGGACCAGGCATGGGTTTCCCCTTTCCTTTTTATTATTTGCACTGTCTCTGGAGCCACTCCTTCCCCTAATTAGGGAACATCCCCACATTAAAGGTATTCGAATGGCAAGAAACTCCTACACGGTCTCCGCTTATACATATGGCATGTTGCTCACACTGACAGATCTGCAAAACTCGCTTCCCCCACTACTCGATCTACTAGACCGCTTCGGGGCCATTTCGGGCTACAAGATTAATCTAGGGAAGTCCTGTGTCATACTGTTCCATGTGGGAGCCCAGGATGTGGTGCTGCTGCAGACCCAATATGGGCTGCAGGTTCAAAGGTCTTCCTTTAGATACCTAGGCATACCTAGGAGCTGATCTTCCACAGTTCTACATATTGGAGGAAAAGTAGCACAGAGCTCTTCCAAGAAATTATTGTCTGGTCATTATGGCATCCATCACCCTGTCGGACAGTGTCAAAAAGAAGTTAGCACTGATCTCTGAACCGTCGCCCATGACCTCCTTCCTCAGGAATAGGGCCTTCCACCTGGCATGCACACTAGGGACTTTGCAGGGCTAGAAATAGCTGGTTTACAGAGATTTAAACACCTTTACCCTAATGACTCCTTTGTCGACTTTGACAAACTCTCCTTACACGCTTAGAGATTTTGCGACACAAAAAAAGTGTGGGAAGCTACAGAGAGAGCCCCGACTTGAAGAACTGTTCAATAGGGAAATGGGTAGCAAGGGTCTGATTTCCTCCATATACAACACGATTAGCTCAGAATCCACTGACTGGGGGGACTGACCTATACAGTCCAGTAGGAAACAGAACTGGGAGAAGTACAGGAGAGCAGGTGTGGCAGGATATCTGGGAAGCTGCAAGCAAAGTATCAATCAGTGTAGGATTCCAAGAACAATCAATTATGACAATGATGTGCTGGTATACCACACCCACCAAGCTACACCACATGGATAACTGGGATTTTTGTTGGCGAGGCTGTGGCAAAAAGGACACGCACACACATGTGGTGGGCATGCATAAAAATACAACCACTCTGGAGGGAAGTTAGAGACCTACTGACAGCTTTACTGGAGAGATCAATCAACCTAGATCCTTGGGCCTTTCTCCTGGCCAGGCCGGTAGAAGACATGTTATCCAAGCACAACAAGCTAATGAACAAAGTCCCTTTGGCAGTCAGAAGGGCCATAGCTGCAAAATGGTTGGGCCCAACTACCCCCGACATGACAGAAGTAACATGACTCCTCAAAGATAACTATTTAATGGACAAGGTAAACACCATAGACAGATCAAGGGGGCAGGAACAGCACTCTGCTAGGGCAGACAAAAGAGATAGGGGGAATCCCGTGCTCTCTT